GTAATGTATAGCTTCTCTATAGTAAGATACAAATCTTAGTAATGTATAGCTTCTCTATAGTAAGATACAAATCTTTAGTAATGTATAGCTTCTCTATAGTAAGATACAAATTCTTAGTAATGTATAGCTTCTCTATAGTAAGATACAAATCCTTAGTAATGTATAGCTTCTTTATAGTAAGTTACAAATCTTTAGTAATGTATAGCTTCTCTATAGTAAGTTACAAATCTTTAGTAATGTATAGCTTCTCTATAGTAAGTTACAAATCTTTAGTAATGTATAGCTTCTTTATAGTAAGTTACAAATCTTTAGTAATGTATAGCTTTTCTATAGTAAGATACAAATTCTTAGTAATGTATAGCTTCTCTGTAGTAAGATACAAATTCTTAGTAATGTATAGCTTCTCTACAGTAAGATACAAATCTTTAGTAATGTATAGCTTCTTTATAGTAAGATACAAATTCTTAGTAATGTATAGCTTCTCTACAGTAAGATACAAATCTTTAGTAATGTATAGCTTCTCTATAGTAAGATACAAATTCTTAGTAATGTATAGCTTCTATATAGTAAGATACAAATCCTTAGTAATGTATAGCTTCTTTATAGTAAGTTACAAATCTTCAGTAATGTATAGCTTCTCTATAGCAAAATACAAATCCTTAGTAATGTATAGCATCTTTATAGTAAGATACAAATTCTTAGTAATGTATAGCTTCTCTATAGTAAGATACAAATTCTTAGTAATGTATACATTCTCTATAGTAAGATACAAATCCTTAGTAATGTATAGCTTCTCTATAGTAAGATACAAATCCTTAGTAATGTATAGCTTCTCTATAGTAAGGTACAAATCCAAGGTAATATATGGCTTCTCTATAGCAAGATACAAATCCTTAGTAATGTATAGCTCCTCTGTAGTAAGATACAAATTCTTAGTAATGTATAGCTTCTCTATCGTAAGATACAAATTCTTAGTAATGTATAGCTTCTCTATAGTAACATACAAATCCTTAGTAATGTATAGCTTCTCTATAGTAAGTTACAAATTCTTAGTAATGTAT